CGACCCCACACCCACCTGTCTGTTACAAACTTCACTTCTACCCACAAATGAGCTGGCGGTGTGCCATAGTTTTCCTTTCACTCAAGTCCTCTGCTCATTGGGGGAGCTCTTGGGCTTAGCATGACAATAGAGGAGAGTCGAGCAGAGAGTTGGGAAGTACAGCTGGGGGTCTCGCCTACAAGTCTGCGTCTGAACCATAGATATTAAAATCTGCTCCTAGACCGTGCACTGTCATGGGTGCCACTCCTAGCTCTCTGCCTGCCAAACGTGCACACCATGGAGCGCGCCATTGCACCCACAGCAAAGGCAAAGCCTAGGTCTCCATATATGTCAGAGTGTCTGGTACCTTTCTGCCCTCATTATCAAAACTAAGATTATTTTGGAGGCGGGCTTCATAACAATGCGTGTCCGTCCTATACAGTTATAACAGTATATGTGTGTTCATCAGGCCAGTGTGTGATCGTCTCAGACAGTTATAATAGTACATGTGTGTTCACCAAAACAGTGTGTGTCCCTCTCAGACAGTTACGACAGGGTGGCATCAGTAGCCTAGTGGTTAGGCTATCGGACTCGTATTCGTGAGACTGCGGGTTCGGGAGTTCGAGCCTCAGCTCGGTCCGACGTTGTGTCTTTGGAAAAGGCACTTTACACGAACTTCCCACTTGGCTCGGTCCAATCGGAGACGGACGTTAAACAAGGAGGTCCAGCCCCCTTAAATAACCTAATAGTGTTGATAGATGCGTTAAACGCATACCATTTCACCATTTTCAGTTACGACAGTACATATATATGAGTTCATCAGGACAATGTGTATCCCTCTCAGACAGTTACGACAGTACATATATATGTGTTCATCAGGTCAATGTGTGTCCCTCTCAGACAGTTACGACAGTACACGTGTGTCCATCAGAACAATGTGTGTTCCTCTCAGACAAATACGTCAGTACATCTGTGTTCCCTAGACGTGTTGGGCGAGAGAGCGGTTCTCATTATTGTCAACAATACCCCCCCCTCCTCGTGACAACCCCCCCTCCCACTATCACTCCCTTCTACTCTCTTCCCCTCCCTCCCTCCCTCATTCCTCTCCCTCCCTTTTCTCCCCCCTCCCCTCCCTCCCACCCATCTCTCCCCCTTACACCCCTCCCTCCCACTTCTCCCTTCCCCCTCACCTCGTGAGTTGGCTAGTGCCTCTAAGGGCTTGAGTCCATCCGCCATCTTGTTGAGATACGCCTGCTCTAAGACTACGCCAGGCACGCGACGTAAGGGTTTGATCTGGTGCTCTAGTACGTCCAGGCTCTCCGGGTACATCTTGCTCTCAAAGTCTACGGCTGGGCAGTCGCCTG